TTTGGGGCTTAGGGTTTAGGGCTTAAGGTTTACGGTTTAGGGTTTAGGGTTTGGGGTTTAGTGTCTGGGGATTGGGGTTTGGGGTTTAGGGCCCTTCAGCCAAGTTGTTAAATTGTGGTTTATTGCTTGAGGCAAACCGAAACCCTAAACCGTAAACCTGAAACCCTAAACCCTAAACGCTAAACCCTAAACCCTAAACCCCAAACCCTAAACCCTAACCTTCAAGGAGCTGTTTGCCTTCCCTGCGTCGTAGCTGGAAACTCTTTTTGATTCGGAAGAGGCGCTGTGGTACGTAGAATTGGGAACTTACTGGGCCCAAGAGGGTTTAGGGTTGAGGGTTTAGGGTTTAGGATTTAGGGTTTAGGGTTGAGGGTTGAGGGTTGAGGGTTTAGGGTTGAGCCCAAGAATAACCTAGGAATCAAAAGGGTGCCCTTTTTGGTTTAAAAGGATGTATAAGGGACCCTAAACCTCAAAGAAAAGGGAATAAGGGCCTACTCGGGGTCCTTGCTTATTTACTTGGGGTACGTACAGTGACGGCACTGATTCAGAAATCATTGCTTTAAGAAACGATCATGTTCTCGAGGGGGCCCCGGGATAAACAATGCGAAAATTGAGAGCAAGACTAAATTTAGCAATCGAGGGTACCCTTATCCTGGGGCCCTAAACTTCTTATTTGTGGTTGTTGTTGCAACCTCTTGAATTTATGCTTTTGAGAAATGCCTGCTTTGTTGGGCTTCCCCGCCAAATAAGAGACCCAGCCCAATTTTATGAAAAACCCAGCCCCTCGCCTAGGAATAAACAGGGTGCCTTTTTTGGTCTGCGGGGCCTTGTACAGGAACCTAAACCCTCAACAAAGGGAATAAGGGCCCACTCACGGTCCAACAGGATATGGGATTTTACGACAGCAGGGACCAGGACAGTAGACCCAAAATAGTAGGACTCCTGTATTGCAAGGACCCCCAACAAGGTACCTCCTCATTTCGGGAACCCCCACATGGAGGTCTTGCCACTTCGACACTTCCCCTACTTCCCCAAAGTCCCCTAAGTCCCCTAAGTCCCCAAAGTCCCCAAAGTCCCCAAAGTCCCCAAAGTTCCCTAAGTCCCCGATTCCCTAGAACCCGCAAGGCTGGGGTTAGGGCTTCGGGGTGTGGGGTGTGGGGTTTAGGGTTTAGGGTTGAGGGTTTAGGGTTTAGGGTTTAGGGTGTTGGGTTTAGGGTTTAGGGTTTAGGGTTTAGGCCTCGGGTTTAGGGTTGAGGGTTTAGGGCTTTAGAGATCTTGAGCCCGATCTCCAGGCCAGTCGACTGCAACAGTGAGCGAACAATTCCCCAACAGCGAAAAGGGTGGGGGGGGGGGGGGTGTAGGGTTTAGGGTTTAGGGTTTAGGGTTTGGGGTTTGGGGTTTAGGGTTTAGGGTTTGGGGTTTAGGGTTTAGGGTCTAGCCCAGGCTTGGAGGCTGCAGTTCGGACACAGCAACACACGAGCAAACGCTACGGCACCTGCCAGTTCTCCCAACCGTAAACCCGAGAGCTTTCAACCCGAAATCCCTTTGAAGCCCTACACCCAAAAGTGCTGGCCAAGAGGTAAGGCGTGGGACCTGAGATGGTTTGGGACCCCTGACCCGAATACCCTCTAAAATACACCAACTGCTGCAGAAACAACCTCGGCATTTGGTTTGGAGCTTTGGGTCATGAAACAGCCTGGCTCTTTCAGTAGCTGTAGCTACACATGGCAGTTGAACCATGTTGAACCACATGTACTCAGTGGTATAGAAAGTCCAGCACCTTAGCACCGCCAAGTACGGCAAGTGCATGTGCACGATCCAGGAAGGCTGTGCGGCCATCTTCCACGCCTTCAAATACGTCTTTCAACAGCAAGCGCACCACCTCCGGGTGACCTTTTACAAGTGCAGCCTTGAGGGCAGTGTCGCCATATTCGTTCGTCATGTGCGTGGCAGCACCAGCTTCCAGTAGCACGCGCGCCACCTCAACACGACCATGTCCAGCTGCAGAAATGAGGGCAGTGTCATCAAACATGCCGCGCACGTTCTTGTCAGCACCGCCTTGCAACAACAAGCGCACCACGTCAGCGTGGCCGCCTTCTGATGCTCTTATGAGGGCCGTGTCTCCAAAAGACGTCTTCGAGTCGTGGGCAGCACGGCCTCCCAACAGCAAGTGCACAACCTCAGCGTGGCCCTGTTCGGAAGCGCGAATAAGGGCTGTGTGGCCCATACCATCAGTGCTATTGATGGCAGCGCCGCCTTCCAACAGCAGGCGCACCACCTCAACATGGCCGTTTAGTGATGCAGACATCAGGGCCGTCAAAGAATGTTTTCTAACATTCGGTCCCACCCCGCTTTGCAGCAGGATGCGCACCACCTCAACCTCTCCAGCTGAAGCTGCTTCATAAAGCTCGTCTTTAGCTTCTGTGTCCTGCGCAGTGGTCGCTAAGATCAGCTGCAACTCCATGGGCGCACCTAACATGTCATGATCTTCCAGCTTTCGGTTGTCATGGAGGAGCTGCTGAAGGGACACAGGCATTCCGTGCTTCGCTCGAAGCCAGCGCTGCAATGACGCCACGTCACTGAGCTCTTCCACGGGTATTGCGGCCAGCTCTTCTCCCGTGACCCTCCGAACACGGATCATGTCGGCCCTCGGGTTTAGGGTTTAGGGTTTAGGGTTTAGGGTTTAGGGTTTAGGGTTTAGGGTTTAGGGTTTAGGGTTTAGGGTGTAGGGTGTAGGGTTTAGGGTTTAGGGTTTAGGGTTTAGGGTTTAGGGTTTAGTCTAGTCTAGAAGGCCTCCTTATATGGATTATCGTGGGGGTTATGGAGCCTAACTCCTGGTGCAGGATCTGTTTTTGGAAATCTGCTCCACCTCTTTTGCAGAATCATCCACAAGCAAACTTAAGCCGAGAAAGGGCCGCAAACTTCATCGGGGCTTTAGGGTTTGGCCTTGACAGTAAGCTTCAAATTAGGGTGGAGTGCCCTAAAACCCCGTTTCAAAAAATCATAAACAAATAAATACATAAACAAACAATGATGAAAAAAAACTGAAGACCTCTTGTAAGACTCTTGAAGAAGGGAAGTCTCCCCCCGCTGCCCTTGATAAGCTTGCAAATCTTTGGGTAGTTACATGGTCCCTCAGTATGGGCCCTTAAAAGGGGTCACCTTATACACGGGCACCCCTTATATACCCCTAATATCCCCCAAGGGCCCAGCATGCATCAGAATCCCTTTGGAAGAGGGTAAGGGACCATATTAAGGGACCAGGCAACTACCCTTAGATACAAGGCATGGTTACAGTTAAAGCCACCTACGCAGAAAAAAGTGCTCTGCAAAGTGCCTCGGATTGTGTGCGCGCGCGCGAGTGCGCATGCGGCGAGCCGCGCAGAGAGTTTAGGGTTTGGGGTTTAGGGTTTAGGGTAAACCCTAAACCCTGAACCGTAAACCCTAAACCCCTAAACCCTATAAATAGGGCTTCAACATGTGAACCCTAAGCAAGTATAGCAGAAAGGGAATGTCCCAGCCTTCTTGTTCTCGTACATGCGGGTGCCCGCGGCCTCCTCGATCATGCTGAGCGTCTCCTCGACTTTAGGGTTTAGGGTTTAGGGTGTGCAGCAACCATTCAACGTTTCTGTGTGCAATCAGAATTTCATCGAGGGCTCGCCGAGTAAGAACCCCGAGCTCTACGTGCTAAACTCGGCCCCCTAAACCCTAAACCCTAAACCCTAAACCCTAAACCCTAAACACTAAAACCTAAACCCTAAACCCCAACCCTAAACCCTAAACCCTAAACCCTAATCCCATCTGGTGCCAAGCCTGGGGCTTCATGTTGATGACCTTGGTAATGCGGCCCTGCATGATGAGGAAGTGCGGGTTGTTCACGTTCCTGGGTGCTGGGTTTAGGGTTTAGGGTTTAGGGTTTAGGGTTTAGGGTTTAGGGCTTAGGGCTTAGGGCTTAGGGCTTAGGGCTTAGGGCTTAGGGCTTAGGGCTTAGGGCTTAGGGTTTAGAGAGGGTTTAGGGTTTCTGTTTAGAACGTTGATTTGGAACTTGGAATGTTTGGCTTCTCACCCGGACCCCAAACGGAAAGGTCATCGATCACCCGGTGACGCACGAAGGCCAGGCTGCTGTTTTGGGCGCCATACTTCGGGCTTTAGGGTTTGGGGTTTAGGGTTTAGGGTTTAGGGTTTGGGGTTTGGAGTTTGGAGTTTAGGGTTTCTACCAAGTGCCTCGTGAACAAAGCAACTGGGCGCGTCCAAACTGCCACCTAGCTTCTGCAGGAGGTGTTTTAGGGTTCAGGGGTTTAGGGGTGTAGGGGTTTAGGGGGTTTAGGGGGTTTAGGGGGTTTTAGGGATTTTGGGTCTTAGGGTTTGTGTCAGGGGTTCAGGGCGCAGTGCTGCGGGACGCAGCATGTAAGGGTGCAGGGGGTGGTGCGCACCTACCCTAAGCCCCCTAAACCCTAAACCCTCAACCCCAAAACTTCAAGATCCAGCAGCTCCAGACGGAGCATCGTGCCGACAACTGCATTAACTGCAGGTTTCCGAAAACCCTAAACCCTAAACCCTAAACCCTAAACCCTAAACCCTAAACCCTTATTGGGGGGGCCTGATTATAAGGGAAATCCTACTCTCTGGGGGTCTCTTTTAGGGGTCCCCTGTGTTCGTAAGCCCCCAACTGCATCTACTCTTCGAGCATCTGCAGAGCTGTGTGAAACAGCCACCCTTGGACTCCGCACTCAAACTTCAGGCTTACACCGCAACTTGCGTTCCGACTACTCGGGCAGGGAGAGGAACTGCAAGGACTATGAACCGCAAGTAGCTAAAGAGTCCTAGGAAAGAAGAGAAGGCCCACCCATTCCTTTCCCCCAACGGGCGAATAGCCTTTTTGTCTCCTTCCAAGAAGGACAGCAGAGAGTGCACCGTCATGGGCTTTTTCCTTTCAAAGACGCGCGCAACGCCAGCGCTTGAGAACTGCGACCCCCTAAAGCCCTATAAGCCCTAAACCTTCAGAAGTCCCAGCAGGTGCCCAGCAGGCAGAGGGTCCATGACTTTGGCCGCCTTGGGTGCAGGTAGAAGTCATCCACCTGGCAAAGGAGCTGCTCCAGGGAGCCGCGCAGACCCTCGGTGCAGACAGCGAGCGTCAGAATGAGTAGGGCCAAGTGAAGCCGGGGCAATCTGCAGAGATCCGGCCTCATGCGCACCACCAGGAACTCGCAAACGCAGATCCCAAGCACTGCTATCAAGGTGAGGCCACCTTTCAGGCAGGTCACGGCCGCTGCCGAGCACAAGATCAGCAGGAAAGCTGGCAGGGCGTCCGTTCCCGCACCTCCCAGCATGAGGACTGCCCCCTTTGCTGCGAGGGCGAAGGCCAGCGTCTCACTTGAGGGTGAATACAGCAGGATCCTCCAAGGCCACACATGCGAGCCAAGGCAGCGCCCGTACTCCCAGCTGAGAAACTCTCTCGGATTTGCAGGGAGCATCATCGGGGCTCCAGCAAAGATGTCTTCCCGCAGTGGTAGCAGGGCATCTTTAGGAAACGTAAAGTCTGCATGATCGTTGACTCGCTCCCACCACTCAATGCCGGAGTACCTCTGATCTTGCTGCCATGAGCGACTCGTCTTGACCGGCGCATAGGCGAAGATGTCGATGCACACACCAGTTTTCTGGTGAGCAATGCGGCCGACCATTCGCTTGTTGTCACCGTTGCAGTCCTCTTCGCAAGTGCACGCGAACTTGAGGACCACCAGGTCTTCCCCAACTGCTCTGCGCAGGGCCTCCTTGCTGGCACCAGCACGAACGCAGTCAGCTTCAAGGATGCCAAGGTCGCCATCAGAGTCCCAAGGCAGCTGCGATCGATTGTGACGCAGCCACCCTATCAACCCAGCAGATTCCAAGAAGGCTGGCACACCGATAGTCTGCAGAGCTTGGGCGGTCGCATGCGTCGCAGATGTCAGCGCCTCCAAGCGGTCTTTCTGCCGCATGGAAGGCTGCCAGTACTCGGGCGCAAAGTGCTCCTCGGTGTTGAAGAGCGGGTGCAAGACGCTCGCCTGGAGCAGCTCCTCCTCCGAATGGACAGCCCACCCCTTCGTGCTGTGGTGGAGCCCCCCAACCTTACTGTTGGTCAGTAGGGAATGAGGGGATGAGGTACCGCTCTAAAGATATATGTATATATATATATATACAAAAACATATATACCCTGTAAGGCTTTCAGGGATGATATAGGGTACCTCAGTCCCTCATCCCACCAACCAACCAACAGCAAGCAACAAAAAGGCAGCAGGCGAAGAGCACCGCGTAGACGAAGGTGACCGCTTGCCAAGTCACCTCGGCGACCTAAACCCTAAACCCTAAACCCTAAACCCTAAACCCTAAACCCTAAACCCTAAACCCTAAACCCTAAACCCTAAACCCTAAACCCTAAACCCTAAACCCCAACCCCTAAACCCTAAACCCCAAACCCTAAACCCTAAACCCCAAACCCTAAACCCTAAACACCCCACTTGCCAAGTCACCTCAGCCTGTGGAGGAGTCTGCGGCTTGCCAGCCATTGGCGCAGCACCAAGAGGCTCTCTGGGAGCTTTGGGGCAAGGGGGGGTGTTTAGGGTTTAGGGTTTAGGGCTTAGGGTTTAGGGCTTAGGGTTTAGGGCTTAGGGTTTCGGGCTTAGGGTTTAGGGTTTAGGGTTTGGGGTCTAGGGTTTAGGGTTTTGGGTTTTGGGTTTAGGGAGCTTTGGGGCACCACCTAGCCAAGTACATCCATGCCGACGGCTGGAGGTCCCGCGGATTGCCGTGAGTGTTGGGAAAAGCATCTAAATGCAAGCTGCCAGCTTGGACACCAACCATCTCAACTTGAGCCGTTTAGGGTCTAGGGGTTTAGTGGCCTACTGGTGTGACACCATGTACAACTTCCCTAAAACACTTCCCTGAAACCCTACACTGCGACCCCTCTGAGCGGAAGTCCCCAAAACCCGAAACCCTGAAACCTCGAAACCCTGAAATCCTGAAAGCCTGAGACCCTCAGCCCCAAACCCTCTGCAGGAGCAGGTTCTGGAAGGATGACAAGGTAGGCCCGAAAGAAACAGTAAAAGCACCAGAGGGCGCGGCACAGGCCAACGCCCTAAACCCTAAACCCTAAACCCTAAACCCTAAACCCTAAACCCTAAACCCTAAACCCTAAACCCTAAACCCTAAACCCTAAACCCTAAACCCTAAACCCTAAACCCTAAACCCTAAACCCTAACCCCCCCCCCCCCCATAAGCCCAAGGAGGCGAGGCACAGGGACACGGAATGGAAGAGATTCTGGATCTGGTTCTGCTGCACCTTGGTATCCGGTAGCCATGAGATAAGAAGGGTGGCCTTTTCTCTGTTGGGGGGGGGGGGGGCGGGGGGTTGCCTTTAATAAGGGGATCAGAGTTCAAAAGAACCCTAAACCCGTAGAGGTTAAGGCGAGGGTGGAGCGCCAGCGGGGGTGGGCTTATGCAAATCGGGGCGCGCGCCTGGGTGCTTTCAGCACCAGCGCGCCCACTCATTGAGACACCCTAAGCCCTAAACCCTAAACCCTAAACCCTAAACTGAGTGAGCCCGGGGCCGTCGAGCAGGGCGAACGCATGACAATAGGGGTACCCTGTATTTTTTTGTGTGTGTGTGTGTGTTTTTTTTTTTTTTTTTTTTTGGGGGGGGGGGGGTTTGCTTGATCAAGGGCACCTGGAACCCTAAACCCTAAACCCCACACCCCACGCACCCCCACCCCCTCCAAAAAAAAAGGAACGGGCACTAGCTGGGCTACCAAGGCACGTTGTGCGAGTTGAGGGCTCAAACCCTAAACGCTAAACCCTAAACCCTAAACCTACCAAGGCACGTTGTGCGAGTTGAGGAGGTACCGATTCCGGCCTCCGATCACGATCTGCCTCTCGAGTTCCGGCTTTTAAGGCATCAAGGACTCAGCTTTTGAATAGGGTTGAGGGCCTTGGTCGTTTTTTGGGGTTTGGGGTTTGGGGTATAGGGTTTAGGGTTGAGGGTGTAGGGTTTAGGGCAGCCCTCTACGGATGGTCCATCTTTGGCGTCGCAATCTTGTGAGTATGACTCTCCAAAGTAAAAGGAGCCCCCAAGAAGAGACCATTATGCAGAGGACGGACCAAGTCTTCCTTGTTGCCCGTTTGGGGTTTAGGGTTTAGGGTTTAGGGTTTAGGGTTTAGGGTTTAGGGTTTAGGGTTTAGGGTTTAGGGTTTAGGGTTTAGGGTAACCCTTGCTTGTGAACCTTGTGATAATGATCTTGTCGTGCATCTCGTACCCGACAGGGCTGCCCTGCTTGTCCTCTCCAGGAGGTTGAGGGTTTGAGGTTTAGGGTTTAGGGATAGGGTTTGGGGTTTGGGGTTTGGGGTTTGCGGTTTGGGGTTTGGGGTTTGGGGTTTGGGGTTTGGGGTTTGGGGTTTGGGGTTTGGGGTTTGGGGTTTGGGGGTTGGGGTTTGGGGTTTGGGGTTTGGGGTTTGGGGTTTGGGGTTTGGGGTTTGGGGTTTGGGGTTTGGGGTTTGGGGTTTGGGGTTTGGGGTTTGGGGCTTAGGATGTAGGATTTCAAGCATTTGGGAGAATTGGGTATTGGGTATTTGTGTATTTGGCTTTCAGGCATCTTTGGTTGAAGGCACCCTTCGTGGCTTCTCGGGTAGTTCATGACCGAATCCCCCCAAAACACCCCCAAAGCCCCCAACCCCAACCCCTCAGCCCCTCAACCCCCCAACCCCCAACCCCTCAACTTCCCGAGCCCTCAACCCCTAAACCCTGCACCCCAAACCCTTAACCCCAAACCCTAAACCCCAAACCCCAAACCCCCAACCCCTCAACCCCAAAAGCCTCGTTGTTGAAGACGACGGTCACGCTGGCCTTGGTCACGCCGGCCTGCCCCTGCTTGTAGACGAGCTCGGAGAGATTGCCCACCCGAACTTGCCTTAAGGGGTTAGGGCTTCGGGTTTAGGGTTTAGGGTTTAGGGTTTAGGGTTAGGGTTTAGGGGTTTAGGGGTTTAGGGGTTGGAGGTTTTAGCGGGCTTGGAGGGTTTAGAGGGTCTAGAGGGTTTAGAGGGTTTAGAGGGTTCAGAGAGTCTAGAGGGTTTCGAGGGTTTAGAGGGTTTATGGCGTTTACAGCGTTTACAGCGTTCATAGCGTTTACAGCTTTGATAGGGCGTCTCGGATTTCTGGAGTATTCGCGGAATTGGGGTTGAGGTTCAGAGTTTGGGGTTTGGTGGATAGGATTTGGGAAATGGGGGGTAGTGAGGGCTGGGAAAAGTGCGCAACAGTTCGTGAATGCCATGGGGGTGCCGAGAGCAACTTCAACATCTAGAAACACTGAACCCCTAGTCCTAAACCCCAAACCCAAAAAACAAGCCCCAAGAAGGCTTTTTGGTGCGCAACTCACGGTGCCCCCTCCCAGCCCCTGAAAGTTGAAACGTCTCGCAACTCCAAACCACGACCGACGAGGCTTCTCTCGACACCGAAGCCCTGAGCAGCGCATACATCCCTCACGAAGCCCAACGTCCCCGTCCTAAACCCTATACCCTAAACCCTAAACCCTAAACCCGCCTAAAAACCCTATACCCCAAACACCAAACCCCAAACCCCGTCTCTTCTAAGGCAACTCCCGCGCCCCTAAACCGCCCTTGGAATGCCGAGGGTGCGTAAGGTTGGAGATGCCGAGCACGAAGCAGATCGCATCCAAAATGTTCGACTTGCCGCTTCCATTCAGGCCTGGCTAGGGGTTCAGGGTTTAGGGTTTAGGGTTTAGGGTTTCGGGTTTAGGGTTTAGGGTTTAAGATTTAATTTCGGGCTTAGGGTTCAGGGTTCAGGGTGAAGTATAGAGACTTGTGTTCAAGGTTTTGGTGCTTGGGCTGTGGCGGAGTAAAGACCAGGCTGACAGAGGGCCTGGTGGCACATTTTGGGTGCAGGCGTTAGGCAAAAGCGATGACGACCTAGGCGTGGCCTGAAAGCCTCGATGCTCAGGTAAAGCTATGGGGAGGTTTACTGGGTTTAAGAGGATCATAGTCAGGAACATGTTCCAGAGGGTTTTAAGGGCCGTCCGAGGGTTTCGACACACGCTTTGTTTCTGTTTCTGGAAACATGTGGGAATCTTGGAATGACTAATATGCATGTAAAAGTTCAAAAAACGAACAAATAGCAAATGTATACTTTGTATATATATATATATATTACACACGTGTTCATGGTTTGAAGAGGAGAAGGGGATACTTGGAGGGCTCCTGTGTACTTCTGATCCAGCTACAACCCTACAAGGATTTAGGAGTTCATCTCCGGTTAGGCGGGGTGGGGGGGGCCAGAAGGGTGACAAGTGCAGTTTCAATTGGCTTCTAAGTTCCCAAGTGCCTACTTAGTAACTTAGAAAGGAAACTCTCGGATCCTCCCGAAGCAGGGGGTCCTGTGATGGCGTTGAACTGCCGATCGAACGGCCCGACGGTCACGCGCGTCGAGTAGGACTTGAATCCGTCGATTATGACCTCCTCGATGTACATGGCTGCCTGGTTTACGGTTTAGGGTTCAGAGTTTAGGGTTGGTGGAAGCACCCCAGAAGCCCTGAAACCCCAAAATGCCATCTACAGGCATTCCAGCAACAACCAGCATTCCAATCACGGCAGATGAGCACCAGATACGCAGAACCCCACTTCAAGGCCATGCCGGGAGGGTTATACTGCATATTTTAAGGGACCCTAAACCCTAAACCCTAAGTAGTCATAGCGTATCTTTCAGAGTTTTTTTCAGGGGCCGATCACCCTAAATGAAGTCGCTTGTGACCCCCAAAGCCGTAACTCCTAAATTCCCGAAATCCGTTTCGGGGTTCGGGGTTTGGGGGCTTAGCTGCTTCAGCGCTTTGGTAGAAGGCTTCGGGAACAGCCTGCCTGGAAAGTGAGGCAAAACGCCGCGGCGGCAAAGGAAACGCAGGGGGCTTCTTTGAAGATGCAAGAAAGTCTAGATTCCAGCCGTCTTCTACTTTTGGGATGTACTTCTGGGATCGTTTGCATTGGAAGCTTCGCGACCCTGAGTGGACGAGCTTCGTACCTTCAAGGGCCCTATGACAGATCCTCCATGGAACAGAGCTTCAAGCGCCCTGAAGAACAAATGCTTGGAGCCAAACGACGGTGGAAGCGACTGGAGGCTCAGAAGCACAGATCTTGGCTGAGTTGTGCTGAAAGCGACTTGGAAATTGCTCATGAGTTGATGGAAAGAAGAGACATTTACAACAAAGTTATGGTCCTGGTGTAAGGGGGGACGGGAAGCGAAAAATCAGGACTGGCCCTAAACCCTAAACCCTACACCCTAAACTGTAAACCTGGAGTTCAACAAGAAACGGCCAGGCTCCCAAAGCAAGATCCACTAAAAAGGAAAACCCTCAGGTGGAAGGATCATGAGACTCTTAAGGTACTTTCATGGTCCCTTAATATGCGCCCTTTGCAGGGGGCCACTTATATACCCCTTACATGAACTAAGGCCCCATACATCAGAATCCTTTAAAGGAGGTCAGGGAGCAAATAAGGGCCCATGAAACTACCCTCTGCAGAGAGAACCCATGGCCGAGCCCAACCCCTCTGATACCTTCAGGCCTTTTTGGGGTTTGGGGTTTAGGGATTGAGGGTTTGAGGGTTGAGGGTTGAGGGTTGAGGGTTGCGGGTTCTAGGGCGCTTTCTCTATGTATGTGAGAACGGGGGTTTGGGGTTGAGGGTTTAGGGCTATTCCTTCCAGTTGAGGCCCCCCCCCCCCCCCATGCTTCAGGTTTGGGGTTTGGGGTTCAAGGTCTGGGGCTCAGGGTTCAAACCCCAAGCCCTAAATGCTAAACCCTAAACCTAAACCCTAAACTCTAACCCTAAACCCTAAACTCTAACCCTAAACTCTAACCCTAAACCCTAAACGCTAATCCCTAAACCTAAACCCTAAACCCTCAACCGGAAACTCTGACCCGCACCTTTCCGGACTGGACTGCCCGGACGTACTCCTGGATGCGCCGCGACAGGCCTCCACAAGGGGTTGTATTTCTTAGAGTTGTGCCTTTTGCTAGGGTTGCCCCCAAAACCCCCTGAAGACTATTCCTCAACATGGTCCTCTTCAACCCGAAAAGAACATCCCAAGCGACTACGAAGTATAGGGCTGGAGGTTCCATCCGTCTCCCTCAGAGTGGTAGTGTAGGGGGGAACATCCCAATTAGGGTCCTCAAAAAGGGACCCAAGTATGGAGAACTACTCATTTGCAGATAGGCCTGAACCGATCCCCGACCCCGACCGCTCTAAACCTTCAACCACCCTCAAGTGCTAAACCCTAAACCCTAATAGAAAAAATGAAAGCAAAAATCAAAGAAAAGTATAACATAAAACCCAAAACTCTAATTCCTAAACCTTGCAAGAATCCTAAGGCCCCTTAAACCTTCACCCAGAACCCAGAAAACTTCAAGCGCCCCAAAACCTGAAACCCTAAACCCCCAAAACCCCCAAAACCCCAAAACCTTCCTCAAAATCCTGAATCCCCTTAAAACCTGAACCCTAAACCCTAAGCCCCCAAAACCTCAAAAAAACCCATCAAAATCCAGAATCCCCTGAAAACCCCGGCACCTGAGTCTCTGGGAACCTCTAGAAAGGGACCCTGAAGGTGGTACGCTTGGGTGTTGGGGCCCCTTTTTCAGGATCGTTTGGGGTTTAGGGTTTAGGGTTTAGGGTTTAGGGTTTAGGGTTTAGGGTTTAGGGTTTAGGGTTTAGGGTTTAGGGCTTAGGGTTTCGGGAGTATAGGGGCCACATAAAGAGTGTACAAAGGGGAACCATGAATGGGCAATCTGAGGGATGCGAGGCTTCATCCCTTCACCGCAACCCTGAAACCCGAAACCCCAAACCCCAAACCCTAAACCCTCAAGACCAGGATAAAATAGAAATTGTTGTGTTTCCATTTCAATAAATCATTTCGACCACACCAACCCCAAAACACCCCCCCCCCCCCAAACCCCGTACCCCCTGCCACCCAACACACATCCCCAGAGACTCCAGAACCCCTTAACTAAGGTATCTCACTTAAATTGTAATAGGAACCCTAGTATGCTTTAAGGTATATTCCTTAATTAAGGTATCTCCTGTAAATTGTAATAGGAACTCCAGTATGATTTAAGGCATATTCCTTAATTAAGGGGTTTTGGAGTCTCTGGGTCGGGCACTTCGGGAGGGCTTCTCGAGGGGCATCCAAGAGTGTTTAGGGTTTAGGGTTTAGGGTTTAGGGTTTAGGGTTTAGGGTTTAGGGTTTAGGGTTTAGGGTTTAGGGATCCAAGACCAAAATCCTTATCCTCAGCTAAATGGGCTTGGAAACCCCAGCCCCCCCCCCCCCCCCCCAAGCCTGGAAAGCCATCACAACTTCATTCAAAAGCAAAGGAAAAAACCGGTCAAAACCCGCACAAAACCCCGGACACAAACCCTATACAATTTCTACAAACCCTAAACCCCAAACCCCAAGCCCTAAACCCTAAACCCTAAACCCAGGCATCTGAGGGTCAGGGCCCAACAGTTCTTTCAGACCGCCCTGGAGGCCGTCCAGGGAAGCCATGTCCTTTCGCGCTTTAGGGGCTCTAGGGGTTCAGGGGTTTGGGGTTTAGGGTTTAGGGTTTAGGGCTTAGGGCTTAGGGCTTAGGGTTTAGGGGAACCCATTCTGAGTGTAGTTATAACCCACATATAAGGCCCTTAAGTACCCCTAATAGGGTTGTATTTGGGTGATAAGTTACGGTTATCGTTGGGTTACTAAGTACCATGAACCTCCAACTGGGGGCTTAGGGTTCAGGGCTGAGGGTTCAGGGCTTGGGATTTAGGGGCTTTTGGGCTTAGAGGGGCTTTAGGGGTTGAGGGTTTAGGGTTAAGGGCTTAGGGTTCAGGGTTTGGGGTTTAGGGGCTTTGGGGGCTTAGGGGCTTTAGGGGGTTAGGGTTTAGGGTTTAGGGTTTAGGGTAGACATCCCAAACAGAGTCCCTGAACCCTGGGCTACATGAAGGGGCGTCGCCACAGGAGCTCGTTGAGGGCTTGTCCCCCGCACCCCATACGACCGCAACCCCGCAAAGACCCGTACCCTCAAGGGACCAAAGGAGGGACCTGCAGGGTTTAGGGTTTAGGGTTTAGGGTTTAGGGTTTAGGGTTTAGGGTTTAGGGTTTAGGGTTTAGGGTTTAGGGTTTAGGGTTTAGGGTTTAGGGTTTAGGGAGGGGTATTTAGCGGCTTCTTTGGCATAATATAGGGACTACATAGGGGATCAAGTTGTAGGGGTCCCTCCGTTTACGCCCTAATACCCTGAATCCGAAACGCAGATGCTAGAAGTCTCAACTGGAGGTTCACTATTGGGGTTTAGACTTGGGGGTTTCCGAAATTCGGGGTACCTTATTGGGGTCCTACTATTTGGGAGTCTATATTAGAGGTCACCTACTTTCGGACAGCCCGAAGTGGACCCTAAACCTTAAACACTAAACCCGAAACCCTAAACCCTAAACCCTAAAACCCCTAAACCCCTGAGCCCTACTTAGGGGTTTAGGGTTTTTAGGGTTGGGGCTTAGGATTCAGGGACCCCAAACACCAACAGCGAAGCTCCAAGCTCCAGACCCCTACTTGGAGGTTCAGGGTTTAGGGTTTGGGGTTTAGGGTTGTTTAGGGTTGTTTAGGGTTGTTTAGGGTTGTTTAGGGTTGTTTAGGGTTGTTTTGGGTTGCTTAGGGTTGTTTTGGGTTGTTTAGGGTTGTCTAGGGTTGTTTAGGGTTGTTTAGGGTTGTTTAGGGTTGTCTAGGGTTGTTTTGGGTTGTTTAGGGTTGTTTAGGGTTGTTTAGGGTTGTTTAGGGACGTTGAGTCGTACTTAGTAACCCAGTACAAGTGTAGCTCTAACCCACAGATAAGCCCAGCAAGTACCCTAGTTTGTGTGTTACAATTGGGTCACAAGTGCAGGTTGTAACTGACTTGCTAAGTACCCTGAACCTCCAAGTAAATCCCCAACGCCTAAAAACCCTTAGATGTTTCAGCCCCCTCGCTAAAGACCTGGTAGCCCCAAAACCTCCACATATAGGGGTCGGAATAAATTTCTAATAGTATTCCTTTATGGTCCCTATCTACTTATCCTAAAATAACCCCCAAAACCCTATTCTAATTATTCAGGCCCTTGCTATGTTAAATCCCAAACCTGAACCCTGAAACGCATAGGCTAGACTCTAAACCCCTTGAAGGCCCTGCAAGACATAAAGCCCCAAATACACAAACAACAAACAAATAACCACACGCAGAACTCGCCCTAGGCCCGAAACCCTAAACCCTAAACCCCCAACCCTTAACCCGAAAACCTAAACCCTAAACCCTAAACCCTAAACCCTAAACCCTAAACCCTAAACCCTAAACCCTAAACCCTAAACCCCCCCAAAAGAAAAAAAAAAAAAAAGAAAACGGTCCTTGGCGTTGGCGCCTTCTGCCTGGGCCTCCCGATTGGCCCGCCGGGCGTGCATGAGCTGGGAGATGCTGGACCTTTGAAG